TTTCTCGTTTGATTATGATACAAATTATGATAATCGATAATTCTTTTTTTTCAGGCGAAGTACTTAATAATTTGACATCTGTCGATTATGCAAATATGATTCGAAAGAAAATTAAGATAAACGAGACGAGTAACGATCCCACTTATTATGGTGCTATTACTGTTCCACCAGACGATTCAGGAACGTCTCACATCTCTGTCTTGGCTCCCGATGGATCTGCCGTATCCGTCACATCAACGATAAATCAAGTGTTAGTCAAGTGTTGTATTAATAATTTTGATTTCGAAAAAAATAATAAAAAAAAAAAAGGAATATATTTTCTAATTTCAATTATTAATTTGACAGTTTTGGAGCAATGATACGTTCAGAATCGACTGGCATAATATTTAACGATGAAATGGATGATTTTAGTTCCCCAAATATAACTAATGCATTCGGTGTACCACCTTCGCCAGCAAATTTTATTAAGCCTGGAAAAAGACCTTTGAGTTCTATGAGCCCGACAATTGTTGTAAGCATATACTTTCCAAATGAAGAGATAATATTATATAGGTATATATATATGTATATAAAATCAATATTTGATCATTTTTTTTTCCTATTTTTTTTTTTCTTTTTTTTATAAAGGTAGATAAAGATGAACATGTCCGTTTAGTAATTGGTGCTGCAGGTGGAACTAAAATCATCACCTCAATTGCAACAGCAATGATATTAAATCTTTGGTCAGGATATGATATAAGACAAGCTGTTGATGTACCTAGAATTCATCATCAAGTAAGATCAAATTTCGATTCGATCGTATGATACATTATATATATATATATTCTAATTAACTTATAAAATTTTTCCAAATTATAGCTATTACCAATGATTGTTCAACATGAACAAGGATTTTCTACAGACATATTAAATTATTTATCGAATATTGGACATAATATTACAGCTTATACGGGAATTGGTAGTGCAATTACGGCTATATCTAAACAGAATGGAGAAATATTTGCTACTTCGGATTTTCGAAGAGAAGGAAGAACTGCTGGTTTTTAAGTTTTTTATCCATGAACAAAATAGTAAATAAAATGACTCAGCGCAGATAGATAAGAAATAATGTTGCGATATACACAAGCAATACGACATTGTTGTGATCAAAAATTGATTTACGTTTCTTACGATAATGCAATGCACATAATCGTACGATCTCGCTATGAAAAATGATCGTTGCAAGCCTCATAAATGCTGCGTCCTAGTGTGTGTCTATAATAAATAGTAATTCTTTAATTAAAGAAATGTGGCAATGGAACCTTAAAAAGTTATTAAAAATAAGAAGTATTAGTATGTGTATATATATATATATATATATACATACATCGAAATAAAATAAATTTTAGATTAATTTTTTTAAAATACTCGAAAAATATAAATATCAAATAATATTAATATGTTATTATGTAAAAACTATTTGCTAAAGGTGTAAATTTAAATGTAAAATAAATACTATGTGTATAATAATAATTTATCTTAAAAAAATATACAACTTTCATTTAATTTTTAATAAATAAAAATAATACTGTAATTTTTTAAGATTTACCATTAGATAATTTAAATTAATTACATTAAAATAAAATAATATAATATATTTAAATAAAATTATGAACTACTACTATCACTTTCTGAAAGTTCAGCTTCTTTCTTTATTTTTCGTACACAACGCTTTATTTTTTTCGTTTTGTATAATCCTTGTTTAGATTTTCGAAGTACCTCGATCGCATGTAATTTATTTTTTAAAGCATTTACTTTATCGTGCTCTCTTTGCGGAATATATTCATCGACATTTTTTTCGTTAAAAGTAGAAACAGAAAAAATTTTAGACTTAGCGCTACCAGCTAAAGTTTGTTCATTTTTCAATTCCTTCCTTTTCTTTTGATTTTCATTCGAAGATTTTTGTTTCTTCTGCAATGATTGCACATTTTCAATGCGTTTAAAATCTTTTACGTTATCGTTGTTTAATTTTTCCACAGCTTTCTGCACTCGTTGGCTTAAATTTATTTCGATTGATCTTGGAATGGTTTGTAATTTAAAATACGCGTCTATTTTATTTTGGATTTGCTTCTCTTCTAACCTTTTCAATACCGGTGTTATAATTTTGTTATACTTATCTTTGTCCCAACCAAATTTTTGTTTTGCATAATCGCCTAAAATTATAATATTAGGTTTACCCCAACTGAAAGTTTCTTTTGATTCGTCCACCATTGGTGCAAGATATGCTTGAACAACAGCTTGACTTGGAAAACCTGTAGAGAAAAACAATAATGTATTTTATAAGATGTAATAATAAGAGAAGTCATTTAAATATATACCTTTCTGAATTTCTAAATTTTGTAACTTGTTTCGTAAACTCGTTTTTCCAGGACCGGCAACTTTACCATTTTCGATCCAAGAACAAAAATTTACTAAGCCTTGTAATAAATTTTCACCTTCTGAAGGAAATGCTGCTAATATTTCTAAAGCAGTAACAGGGCCAATACCAGTCAAACCTGTAGTATAATCGCTCCCAACTAAGAGGGCAAGGCGTATCATTTCGTTTCGTGTTAATTCTAAAATAAATAGACATTAATTTAAACACAAGTATATATTTTTTTTAATTAAAAAGATAATAATAGACTCACTAAAATATCGTTGTATGTCGCAAGCACGAAACTCAAGAACTTTTTTATTGTTGTCGAAAAAATTTTTATAAACACATTGTCCTCCAAATAGCCAAATATCCGAATCGTCTGTAATTGTACCATCGGTAAGATGAATTTGTTCTAAATATGCACATTGCGCTTCTGCTTCCATGGGTGCTACTAAATATGGTATTCCAAATAATTTTAACAGTTCCTATAGATATTATGTATGAAAAAAACATATGCGTTTATTGCGATAATTTGTTAAATTTATTAATTTATTTATTTATTAAAATTTTGTTATACATAATACCTGAGCTTCGATTCGTATTTGATCAGAAATATCGATACCTTGCCTTTCTAATTTACCAATATTTGCAATTAATTCTGTTTGTTTATCCTCTAATTGGGCCTGAAATTAAAGTATACTAAACATTTTAATAATAAAATATTTGCTTGTATGTGATCATCTAATGTATGAGTATACTTACTTGTAAAGATAACAATTCATTTTCATTCATAGGTATAGGACTTATTTTTTCTATAGGATTTGGCAGCGTATTAATATTTATAGTATCTTTAATATTTATATTTTCTATATTATTTTTTGAAGCATTTGTCACTTCTTCAATGTTAGTTTTGTCTTCTATTTGATTTTTTTTTGATGGTACATTTGTGTTTAAAATATTCAGATCAATGTCAATATCTGACTGCTTATTGATACCATCAAATTTTGCATTAAATAATTGATTATCCTTAATTTGATTCTTTGTTGATTCTTCAATTTCTTTTTCAAAAGTAATTTTATTCTTTGATGTTTCTTTATTCAAGTTTAATTTGTTATTTGATGTTTCAAATATATCTGCAAACATATCATCTTCTACTTTTTCATCAGATCTAAATGTTATTTGAATACTTTGTTGTGAAACATTATTATTAATAATAGTATTCTCTTTTGATGCCGGTATATCTTTAATTTCTATAAAATCATCTGAATCTGAATCTGTTGAACTAATTATTGTTGCAGTTTTTGATTCAAATTGTGCTTTGTTTGAAATGTTCGCAATTTTAACAGAAGATAAATTTATGTTTGTCTCAATATTTGTTTCCGATAATATTTTTGATTCATCAATTAATTCTACAACATTTGTACAATCGAATTTCGTACATTTTTTATTGTTTTCAGACTTTGGATTTAAATGTTGTACATTATTTTTATTGTCACAATCATTTGTTTTATATGAATCAGTTTGTTCTGGTATTCTTGAAGTATTTTCAACATTTTTACACATTTCTCCATTGTTTTCAAGAAGAGTAAGAATTTGTTCTTCTGTCAATCCACTATATTCTAACATATATGTTAATGCAGGATTCGTAACATTTTGTTTCAAATATTTCTTCGATAATGTTCGTGATTCCCTTGATTCTGTTTCCGATTCTATATCGTTATCGTTCATTTCACTTGTAAATCTAAAATTATTTGTAGTTGTTATTTCAATATCGCTATCCCAATCATCATTAAGTTCATATTCATTTATATCATCACGAATCGATGTAGATTTACTAGGCCCAGCAATAACTTCATCTATTTCATGTTCATTATTCTGTGTAGTATTCTCATTATTTGAATTAACATTGTTTTTGTTTTGAAAGTATGCATTTTTATCTGCAATATAAAATTTATAAAAATGAAGAAAAAAATAAAGAGCTAGAGTTTCGATTTCAATGAAAAATTTATGAAATACCACTAATATAAATTAATCTAGTTGTATTGTCTGCAGCGATGCGATGGGTATAATTTTGAATATCCGTAGGTATTCCCTGTTCTTTTAATAATTTATCTAATTCTTCTAATGTAAGTGTTTTTCCTCCCATTTCCTTTTCAGCATTTTCTAAACTTTGTTGTACTAATCTTCTTTTTAACAAACGTTTCATTTGGAAACCAGAAAATTCATTTGATTCCTAAATAAAATACATCATATTAGTAAATTGAAGTAAATTTAAAATATTTACATTTTTAATAAAAATATATACTTCGGGCATCTCATGTAAACGCCCCCATGAACTTTGCTTTCTTGTTTCTTTCAAATCAGTTAGAATTTCATAACGCACGTCAGCTGGTAAATCTTTAAATTCAGCGCTAGTTACATCTACATTGTGAATATTTCCAATCCATTTTGTTTGTTTACGCGGACTCAATTCATCAGAAGAATCAGAATCATAAACATCATTACAACTTGATTCTGCCTTACTTGTGCTTGGTATACTTGGTAATTTAAACATATCATCTACTGTTTGTTTATTTTGCAAACTTATAATTATTTCAGAAGATTCATTTGTAATTGATTCATTTTGCATCTCAGTGTTAAGTGCTGTTTTTACTGTAGAATGTTTTATTAAATTATTTATTAATTCTGTCCTCATCTGTTGGGCTTTATTCTTGGCCATAGATTTCTGTTTCCTGCGTAAAGCCTGTGAACACAAAGGAATAAGAACCTCTTTTCTCACTACCTGGTTCCCACAGTAAACTAATTATATACGGACAATATTATAATCAAGATAAAAGTACAGTTTCATTAATGCATGCATGTACAATGTATGTAATATTGAAATATACAATAATTTAGATAATTAGAAAGTTAAATGAAATTAATTAATTATATTTTATGAATATCTATAATTGATATTTTTAATAAATATTTTTTAATTTATATTTTTAAAAAATCAAAATTTAATTAAAAGTATATTTACAATTGTATCTTTTTTAAGCATTGGCACACCTCCATCAAAAACAAAGACTGGTTTAATTTTATAATACAAAAGTTTACATATTCTGTGAAATAAACCAATAAGATGAGCATTGGGTTTCGGGTTACCAAAACGATCCTGATATCCTTGTAATACTTGATGTATCCAAATTGATATATCTATATAAGAATCACAAAATTGTTAATCATATGTATAAGCAAACATTAATTGTAAATATGTCTATATTAATGTAATAATAAAATAATTATTAATATTAAAATTAAAATTTTTTTTACCAATAGCTAAGATTTTCCCTTCCAATGTTTCTAAAGGCACTTGTTTTCCTGTTGTATTAAGTAAACGCCATAAACCATAAACACCCATTATTTAAGACAACAAACCTATAATAAATTATAAAATTATATTATATATTATTTATATTATATTGATAATAAGTACTCTTTGATTAATATATACACAATATACACAATATTTATTTAATAAAACTGTTATTGAAGAGTATGAAAATACAAAGATTATCTTTTATATTCTAAGTACGATATTCGTTTATAAATTAGAATATTTGCTTAGAAATTAAAATAACAATTATTTATAATATATATTTATAGTGCATTTCTGCTTATTATATATAACCTAAATTATAATTATACGCTATAAAAATACAAAATAATACAAAATATGTGAAAATACTTACTTATATATATTAAAATATATATTAATATTATATGGAAGAATCATTAAATTAAATATATAAAAGAATCATTAAATTATTTAATTTTTATATAGTTTTAATTTTTCAATGATTCGAATCTGCATGCTTACAGATGTCGCAGTGGAACAGTTAACTAGTCAGCTTAAGTCAGCTGATCAAAATAATATATTCATATATATTATTCATATCATTATTCATATGTACTATATTTATACTTATATATGATGTAGTACGTTCAAAATTTGTAATACATTCTAAAAATTGTGAGAAAAAAAAATATTTTAATCATATTATTTTAAATTTAAAGTTTATAATATATTTCAATTATCATAAAGTAATAATATTTTCTGAGTTAATTAAATTTTATTATCAATCTTATTTGAAATTATACTTTTACAAACTGTTATATCTATATTTCATAAATGAAAAACGTAATTTTATCAAATTTATTATTTGACTAAAAAAATTATGAAACTTTTTATATATAAAATAAATAATATTATATTCAATATAAAAATAGTTATTATAATTGATTAATTTCTAATAACGAATTAAAAAAATTATTTATAAAATTTTCTAAAAATTTCTATGTATGTATATAAAATATATAGAAAGTAGATTAAATAATATTTAAATATAAATTTAAATATAAAATTTACGAGGATACATGTGATATATGTTTTCAACAATAATGTTTGCCAATATAAAATTATATTTAATTGAAAATCTAGGCTTTCGATGCAATAAAAGGTAAGCTTATAACGTTAATTTGTCTATCCACGCATACTCGTCCTATATTACGCAGTATCAGGCTGATGGCCATTCGTGTGACTCGAATACAAGTATCTAACGTGATATGTGAAATATATAGTTGTGTGTAGCTTGTCTAGCTATGCGCATATACACACTCGTAAACATGATGTATATGTATATCGTATCGTCATCATGAGAGAAGTGAAGTGAGGTAGAGGCCACCCACTCTTTCCCACAGCAGGTTTTTCCCACGCCCCCCAGGGTAACCCCAACATCCTTTTGCGGCAGCAATTCCACGGCACGTAGAGAGTAGAGGGGTGTAGCTCACGTCAGGTGGGGAACAAGAAGGGAAACTGGAGGCGCTTGGGTCGACCAGGCCATTGTACAACAGTAAAACAATAGAATCAACAGTTCAGTAACGTAACTATTCCAATTCTTGAAATTTTTTTGATTGAAATTTTATAAACATTTGTCAAATAAATTAAAAATAATATATTTATATTTTTATTTTATGTAAAATATAATTTGATAAAATATTTGATTAAAATAGAATGATATTTAATTTTCTTTTTCTCTTGTTATCCAGTATTTCTTTTTATTTTTTTACATTGAAAATTTAAGTTTTAATATTTATTGCTAATAAAAAATGAAAAAAACATGCAATTTAAATATTTAAGTAAATAATAATTGCATTAATATCAAGGGTTTTATAGACACCCCTTATTAATACATACCTGTTCGAGCCACTTACGCGGGTAGTAATAACTCTACGTTATCGTTTCGAACTTAGTTACTCGGCGAATATTGTAGGAGTAAGTTCTATTAATGCTTCTTTGAAGATTTGTCAAAATAAGTTTATCGTTCGTTGTTTAGTTGAAAATAACGAGATTAGAAAAAGATAGACCAGAATAAGGTAACAAAACGATGTGTATCCAACTATAATTATAAATTAATTTCAAGCGGAATTTCGAAATTCGGTATTTTGGATTTAAAGTGGCGCGCGCGGTTAAACCACTTCTGTGGGTTGGTAAGACTGTTCGGAAAATTCGGAAAGTGAACAGGTGTTTTTTGAATGGATTAGGGAGAATAGGTGACGAGGACGCAAAAGGATTTGCGAATGGTGAAGAATCGAGGAATAATGTGATACTTGTGAATAACTAATAATAATTTAAAAAAATGCATTGGGATTTATGTTTCAAATCGAGTTGAAAAATAAGGTAAATATTAAAAACGTTTAACCTGTTTTTTGTTCGGTGTAACCTTTGCATCAAAAAAGTAATAAACAGTTTTTTAAATATTAATTAAAAAATATAAATGAATTTTTTATTTATAAATATTATTAATTATTTATGAAATTAAAAAATTTATGGTGAATAATCATAATGTTTAATTTCTGTCATTAAATCAAATGTAAAAAAATTAAATTTTTCATTTTCATAATATTCTTCAATAAGAAAATCTGTACAAGAGTATCATTCTTTATTTTTTCTATAGTGTAAAATTATACATATATGCATATAATACTTTATATAACACTTTATATGTATATATATATGAAGTTTAAATCACCTTGTCATTTATATAGTAATATAAGTTTTTACAATACATAAATAATTGTCTGTAGTTTGAAAAGTTATGAAAAGATGTATTTGTAATTTTATTCATTATGCATTTAATTAAGAGATAAGTATACGTAACTTATATCAGACAATTAACATTGCAACTTTTATTTTATTTAGGAATAGTTTTTCATTTTTTATAATATTATTGTGACTTTCTTGTTTTATAAAATTTATGGAAATGTATAATTTAATTTAATGATAATTATGATATTCGAAAATTAAAATATGTTTAAAAAAATTATTTTAATAGATAAAATTAATCAGCGAACATCTTTATATTTACAAGTACATAGATATAATTGTATAGACACAACGAACAAGGGTGATTTAATTCATGCAGGAAAAATGAGCTCAGCTTGGTTCCCACAGTATATATGTACATTTCCTCTTTCCTGTACTAAGACTAACAATTCTTAGTAGCTCGTTTAAAGAAAGATACCTTACGTTAATTATATCTTGCATTGTAAAAAAACAAAAATCTTTCCCACACTAAGCTCTTAAATGAACAAAACTGTATGATTCTATGCTTATCTAAAATATACATAGTAAAAAATCAATATTTATTTTATGTATCACGATATTATTATATTTTTTATATAGTATTTTATTTTAATATTTATAGTAACAAATTATAATAATATATATAATTTATAAAGTATATTTATATATACTTTGAATTTGACTTCATAATATTTTTACTCTTTTCAATATTTAATTAATACAAAATTTAAAAAAATATAAATAATGGTAGATGATAGATGATGAAAAATAATATTGATTGTAATTGGTTATAATGTAATGTATTTCAGGTAAAGGGGCAGAGATAATTATGACATGCATAGATGACAAGGATAATCTGCAAGCAACCTAACAACTCTATTGTATAGTCGAGAGAATCGAAGTGAAGGTTAATAAATATGCCACACCAGTTTGGTTTGCCCACGATGGCACATGGAATGCAGTCTCCTCCTTCGCCGACTTCGGTTATGTCAGTTTACCCTCGATTCGGATCCGGTGTTTATAGACCGGATCATCAAGATCAAAGGTTGACACGCGAAGCAATGGAACGGTATTTGCGCGATAGAAGCGACATGGTTATTGTAATTCTTCATGCGAAAGTTGCGCAAAAATCGTATGGTAACGAAAAACGATTCTTCTGTCCTCCACCGTGTATCTATTTGTTTGGAGATGGATGGAGAATGCGTCAGGAACAAATGCTTCGAGAAGGAGAGAGCGAACAGTCTGCTCAACTGTGCGCGTTTATCGGAATCGGTAATTCCGATCAAGACATGCAACAGCTCGATTTGAACAATGGTAAACAGTATTGCGCGGCAAAGACACTTTATATCTCGGACTCGGATAAGAGAAAGCATTTCATGCTTTCGGTGAAAATGTTTTATGGTAGCGGACATGACATCGGTGTGTTTCATAGTAAAAGAATCAAAGTGATCTCGAAACCGTCGAAGAAAAAACAATCTTTAAAAAATGCTGATCTGTGTATAGCAAGCGGAACAAAAGTTGCTCTATTCAATCGGTTACGATCTCAAACAGTTAGTACGCGTTATCTTCACGTGGAGAACGGAAATTTTCATGCGAGTTCTACGCAGTGGGGTGCATTTACTATACACCTATTGGACGATAACGAGAGTGAGTCGGAAGAGTTTCAAGTACGAGATGGTTACGTACATTACGGTAGTACAGTGAAATTGGTATGTTCTGTAACGGGAATGGCGCTTCCACGTCTGGTAATTCGAAAAGTGGACAAACAAATGGCTAGTCTAGAGGCTGATGATCCCGTTTCGCAGCTGCATAAATGCGCCTTCTATATGAAAGACACGGATCACATGTATCTCTGTTTGTCTCAAGAACGTATTATCCAATTTCAGGCTACTCCTTGTCCAAAAGAAGCAAACAAAGAGATGATAAACGATGGCGCCTGTTGGACAATCATTAGCACTGATAAGGCAGAATATCAATTTTTTGAGGGTATGGGTCCGGTTAGATCACCAGTGACGCCAGTACCATTGGTCCACAGCTTGCACTTGAACGGTGGCGGGGATGTTGCAATGCTTGAATTGACTGGAGATAATTTCACGCCTAATCTTCAGGTGTGGTTTGGGGATGTGGAAGCGGAAACTATGTACAGATGTCAAGAAAGCATGCTTTGCGTAGTACCGGACATATCACAATTTAGGGGTGAATGGCTTTGGGTACGACAACCAACTCAGGTACCTGTCTCGTTAGTTCGCAACGATGGTATCATCTATGCAACTGGTCTGACGTTCACCTATACTCCAGAACCTGGTCCTCGACCTCACTGTCCGCCCGCAGATGAAATTATGAGAGCACCACGTGCCATGCATAATCAAGCGAGCATGCCACCTGCAATCGCGGACGTACCTTGGAACACTCATCAACCTCCTCAATCGGGTCTCTGATGTTTTCTTGACAATCACAGTGCGCATCACCAAAGTTTACGAGTTAGTGAAACGAACACTGTTTCTGTTCATTTTTCGAACGATATTCCTATTGTTTCTATCGATACCGAATCAATCAGCAATGATGATGCTAACTCGACCATCACTTATACAACGAAAGACCTGTTGCATCGAGTCAATAGCACGACGAGTTTGAATGATACGAAAAGCAACACATAGCAACCGCTTCGTTGCATTGCGTTGCGACCCATTGCGTGCGTTATATTACGTTGCCTTTTGTGGCTACTACATATGTACAGTGCTGAGCCGAGAATCGTTTCCCTATGTTTATAAATATATAGGTTCCTAGCTTTAAGTGTTAATACAGAATTACACAGGGATTAAAATTTATAGCGATTTTAGGATTAAGAGCTTTCCTACGAATGTGAATATTTAGCTAATTGATCAGTAAAAAGTTATGAAAGAAATGACGGGACGGGGAGGGAGAGCGCGCAAATTTAAAAAAAAATTTGTTCGTCTATGAACAAAACGAATTTTAAATTACGAATTCCAATTACGAATATCCTTTCGTAATATCAATCCAATTATCGAAATCTAACGGCAATAGCCAGACTGTGCAATTACATATCGATCGTTGAAAATGAATATACATTTCTCGTCGATTATTGCTAATTTTTTACTTGAAAGATCAGTCTTTTTATTAAAGACTGATCTTGTTTGGCTTAAAATTGACCGTTGATATCGGAAATATCGTTAATAAAAAACGATACGTGACATACAATGTATATTATATTGGTATATAATATAATTTTTTAGCGTGATCTTGCTAATATTTTTACATATATCAAATTTAAAAATAAATTGATTTTTTAAAACATTCGTTTTTATTGAAGAAAATGAATAATTTGCTAATAATCGCAATTTATTAAAATTAAATTATTAATTATTAATTTATTTTTTATAAATCAACCGACAAATAATTACTATTACTTTTGTAAAATATTTTATTCACGTATAGAAATCATTCTAGTTTTAATACAGGGAAAATGAATCGTTATCATTCAAAATTGTAACATGCTGTGTTGTCGGTTAACTTTGTGCGCTATTCAATTATCAATTTTTTTTCGTACCGATTATTTATTATAATAATTGTATTATTTCGTCAATGAAACTTTTGATTGCTTATTAATGTAAACAAATATTATGCACGCTTTTTATTAATCTCACTGATTATCATTACCTTAATTTTTCAATTGTGATAAAAATTTTTCGTATCATCTGCAGAGACGACAATATGCTTGTTCACTTGAAAATATGTATTGGTGCATTTTAAACGGATGAAACAAAAGAAAAGTTTAAGTAATATATATATATATATACGTTTTTATGTCTCTCTATGTTTTGCAATAAATTGAAAAGATTTATACAATAAAATCTTTACTCTATTACCTATACATTATTTCCAAATCCCAAGATTCAGTAGTAGAGACAATCTTAACTATTGATTAATTATCGAGTTGGATCAAAGAAATAACACGTTTTTTTAACTGAATTTGTTGGAAATATGAAGAAAGTGAGACATTGTTATACACAAAATACATTTGGATCAAAGTAATGGAATTTTATTAAAATGGAAACTAGAAATTCTATCTGTCAGAAACAATTCATTTCTTGATTTTTCAACTTGGTATGATGGTTCTTTTCCAGATACCATCGAATATAATTATTTGCAGCAGGAAGTGAGATAAGATCGCTTTGGGAATTGTCTTCCTGAAGAGATCCATTGTAAAAGAGGAATGTCGGTATATGTATACTATGGGAATTTACCCACGATTAAAATTTGCACGAAGTACCTGAAGAACATGATTATCTTTATTCACAGTAATAAATTTTTTAAGTTAATAATTACATCCTTACATGTATCAGTGGACGGATAATTATTGAGTAATCATTACGTTTCATTAGAAAATTATTTTAAGTACACGTTCGAACGTAAATTCTATATTTTTGAATAATTTTTTGCAAATATGAAATTATTTTAGATTACACATAGTATTAATTATATATACATCCCAATTTATATATTGCCTCCGATTCAAAATGATAGAATACGTTTGAATGTGAACTTCTTTCATTGTATTTCTTTCTTTTTCCTATATGTTAAAGTAATATTTTACAAAATTATATGAAAAATCTTATTTGTAAATAAATCATATACAAATTTTTTTAACTAATTATTTGTGTACACGTGCATCGATCATAATCCCCTTTATATTCTCAAACGTTATCATATTAACGAAGCTTGAACGACAAATAACGTAAAAACAGTAAAAAAACAGTAAGATGGATGTATTGTATATACTTATATGTATATATAATAAAAAATTTATAACAAGAACATATATGTATATAAAACGTTCCTTACTATAGAAACGTTTAAGGATATATTATATTATTATTATATAAGATTTTCTATTGTGCTTGGCAACATTCTTTCAGTGAAAAATTATTCGAGTGTATATCTATAAGTACAGAATTATCTATTGTTACGTTGAAAAAGATTAATATTTAAATATATTTTCTATAATTAATATAAAATTAGTTCGATAAATAGCATGAATCGAAAATTTTTAATTATCGAATTGTCCGATATTTCTTAGTCTTGACTATTTTAATATTTTCTTAACATTCCTCATTCACATTCTCATCTTGCGCACATTCACGGTTCAATAAAATAGTTCAATAAAATCACATTTATTTTATCCGTATTGTACGTTGCTTATTCATATTTGTAAGCATTAACGAAATATATGAAGTTAAAAGATCATCCATTTTATACCCAAGTGAAGTTTCGCACAACAATTTGGAACCTCGAACTAAATTTCCTATCGTCATATGAAAATAAGTATTACCTGACGACCAATTTGAAATTCTGGTAAAAGGATGCGTTACTAATATATCCTAAAAATACAAAATATTTTTAGTGGCTTATTTTATTAATTATAATTCGTTATTCGTATAAATAACAGAAATAAATGATTACTTACTTTCGTTTGCGGATGTATAAGACTTACACCATGTTTGTTGATAGCGATTAACAATAATTCCGGATAATTTGGTTCCGTACTTTGTTTAACTTCAAAAAATGCCGAACCAAAAGTTGGCCATCGATAAACAATTTTCAAAAATGTTATTTTAGCATCTTCTGGGCTCATACCTATAACGTATATATATAACGAAATATTTATTTATCATATATATATATATATATATATATATATATATATATAGAGAGAGAGAGAGAGAGAGAGAGAGAGAGA